AGTTAATGCTAAAGGAGGTCAGGAGTTTATGGGAAGGCTCGTAAATGTGATCACGAGCGAGCTAAGATGATCAAGAGGAGTTCTAAAGGATGGATAATATTTGAGGGAGGACTCGCAGGAAAGAGGGAAACATAGAAGCAAAGTTGAAGACAGCAAACCTTTGCTGGAGACAAAAGGAAAATCAGGCTATTAGGATAGAATTTTGTTAGAATAGTTTGTGTTTGGAGGGAAGATGGGGAGGCCATTCGAAAGGGATGGGTAGAGCAGACTCAAGGTGAGTAGGAGAAGGCTTTGATTCCAGCCTGAGAAGGTTGGATGGTACTTGGCACGCAAGAGAACCACTGGAGATAAACAGATGTTCTTTAGAGAAATGATGCAGGAAAATGAATATTTTAATAAGATCCACCCAATATTATTATATATGCTTAATTAAACTCAGGAGAAAGGGTAGGCAAGGAGGCAGTTAGAAGCCGGTGAGAGTCATCCAGACAGGCAGTGGAAAGGGAAAGAAATATATCCAAGAAAACCCATCATACTAAATGACTCAAGTGTCCCCATGCTTTGACCATGCTAGTTATTCAGTCTGTTAGCCTACTAAATGATATGGGGATGAAAGATTAGAAAAACTCCAAGGAGACCAATATTTTCAACTGGAAGTGCCAAAAACAGAAACAAGGGTCTTGCAAGGGGAAAATCTGGTTTTGAGAAAAGTTGAATTCTCAGACAACAGAACTGACTGCCTGATATAACTGGTGGGTAGTGAAGGTCCCTGTTTCTGAAGGTATTCAAGCCCAAAACTCAGCTCTTGGTAACATTATTGCCAGGTGCACTGGCTCACACCTGTAATCTCAGCACTTTGGGAGGCCACAGAGAGTGGATTGTTTGAACTCAGGTGTTTGAGACCATCCCTGGCAACGTGGCAAAAACTGTCTCTACAAAAAATAGAAAAATTAGCTATGTGTGGTGGCACAGGCCTGTAGCCCCAGCTACTCAGGAGGCTGACATGGAGGATCACCCAATCCTGGAATGTAGAAACTACAGGGAGCCCTGATCGTGCCACTGCACTTCAGCCTGGGTGACCGAACAAGATCCTGTCATAAAAAGAAAAATATATATACCTCTGATCAGTGGAAAAGATAAGATTTGATGAACTCGGACGTGCCTTCCCGCTTTGGTATTCTATGAAACTTGGTCCTTGTAAGGTAGTGAAGTGCCTTGCCCAAGATCATGCAGCTAATTAGTGAACAGAGGTGGGACCAGAATTTAGGGCTGGCTATTCATGTCTGGTTCAGTATTCTTACCACTAAACTATTTTAACTTTGATTGTACTCTGAGTTGTATTCTGAGGGGTGACCAGACACCCCATATAAAAACAAGATCAGTAAATATTGGTTCTGAAATGAAACAAAGGTGCAGCACAGCCTGACACGGTGTACAGAGTGTAAATTTGAGAGTCCGATCAAAGTGGCTCTGTCACTCACTCCTGTACGGCTATGGGCAAGTTACTCAACTCCTCACACGTGGACATGGTTCCTCATCTATAAAATAAGCATAAATATTTCTATCTAATGGGGATGCTGCAAGATAAGTAAGGAGATATTTTTAGATAGATTGACCACAAAACAGATTACACACACACACACACACACACACACACACTCTCTCTCTCTCTCTCTCTCTCTGCTGAGTTCAGTGTCAAGAACATACATTCAGTCTGCTTCCCTTGTGATCTGGTAGGAACAGGCATCAACCAATCAGAGCCAAGACTGGCTCATCTCCAAACGAGTGCACACAAGGTGACTCTTAGTCCACAAGAGGAGGAAATGTTTAGGCCTGCCCTGGGCTCCTGCTGCCATCCCCACTCTGTCACTTCAAAGGCTGGCAGCTTGGGTTTGTAACTGTTAATGAATTATCAACAAACAGGAAAGCAGTGTGGCAAGGAAAGATAACATGAACTTTAGAGCCAAACAGACCTAATTTCTAATCCTGGCCCTGCCACTTAATAAACCTGTGATCTTAACCTGCCAGAAACTTAGTTTCCTTTTCTATGAAATGGGGATAGTATCATGGAACACACAATACAGTTTGTATAAAAAGTTGTACACAAAGCACAACGCCTTGGCCCATGAAGTGCTTTTTAAAATGAGGTTTTTTATTTTCCACAAAGAACCTAGCACTGTACAGAACACATGTGAGATGTCCACTAAATGGTGGTTAGTAGCATCCCTTTCCTTCTGCTGCTGCTATCCAGCCCTGTGCTGACCTGAACCATAAGTAATGTGGCGTATGTTATTCTGGTGCCTTTAGTAGGTAGTAAATAGTATACTCTATACTACCACGCTCCTAGACAGTTTACCACTCACCACACCCCCTTGAATATGTAAGATATATATTCCTCGTTCAATATCACTTCTGCAGAAATGTATCTGAAAAGATTTTTAAAGTTTTACTTTTGAAATGATTTGACTGCAAGTAAGTTGTGATGGGCACTGCTCCTTCTGCATTCAAGGTACTTGGGAATTCCTACAAAATGAGAAAACTAACAAAAGATTGTTTCCCAATGTAGTGAGCTTTTTGTGTGCGCCAAATTTCAAAATAAGTGAGATCAATTTCCTGTTACTTTAGTGGCAGGTAAGTAAATATTTTTTACTTGATTCTATATTTGACTTTTCCTGTATTGGAGCCAATATATTTTTCCCAGTCTCAAATACTTTAGGCCCTTGGAAACCTCCCAGATTCTAAGCACTGAACCTCTAGTGCTTAATGGAGAAAACAGCCCTGAGTCTGCAGCAGTTGGGAAAACTCATGATGAATGACTAGGATCAAAATACACAATCAAAGGAACCCCTTTCCCTGGCCTCCCTGAGTGAGGCTGGCCAGCTGCATGGGCCAGCACCTACTTGAGGGAAAGCATGTTTGCAACTTAATTGGACTCAGAGCTTGCAAAGTCTCTGATCAGTCATCTTGGTTGGCAGTAAATGTTTAGGCCAGCCCTGGGCTCCTGCTGCCATCCCCACCCTCTCACTTCAAAGCTTGGCAGCTCCGGTATGTAACCGTTAATGAATAATCACTTGGTAACCCTTCCATCCCAATGGGAGAGGCTCAGCTGAGGGCCTGCAAGTGAGAAATGACTTCCTGGGGCAGGGGGTGGGAGGGAGTGGTGGAGAGGGAGGGAAAGATTTGTTCCCTGGTGCCCAAGTCAACTGCTTGCTGGGTAATGTTTTCCTGGGTTCAAAAATCAAAGTTTTGATTGCTTTGTGGGGAGGAGTGCATGAAGGGATCCCTGCTGTGGAAAGGGTGAGTTCTATTGGCAAACCAGGCTCGTCCACCATGTTTGCCTGAGATGACAAGCATCTCAGAATTTTTACATTCAGAAATGCCGGTGCTAGGCGCCTCAGTGATTTTTGCCACTTGGGAGAGGACTTTATCCCAAAGGCAGAGAAGTGACACAAATCCCAGAGGTTGAGAGACTGAGCGGAGGCCAACACACTATCACCGACCTGAGAAACTGCAGTGCAGAACGAGTTCCCCAACTGCAGTCACTTTCCGTAACCCTGGACAATTCCACACCATCTGCTTCCCACCCCTATTACATTAATAATATGCTAACTATACATTTACTCATTGATTTAAAATAATTCTTTTAAAATGAAGCTAAGTAATGCCATCTTTCAAAGAATGCTAGTGTTACTTCATAAACAGAAGTAAAAATAAATGTAATGACTGTGATCCAACTTTTAAAAATCCTACCCAGATACTGTTTTCAGCTGAAGACGCAGCCTGAGTCCTGTTGTCTTTATTGAAAAGGAGGAAACAAACACTGGAAAGTGTAAAAGAATTCACCTTCTTGCTCTCAGAGGAGACTTTCTCCTAAATGTAATCAGAAGGATCTGAAGAAAATTACTTAAAGCAATGTGCACACACCACCTAAAACTACAAACAGAAACACACTGTGCTCTGCTCCTATGGGAAACTCTTTTCCTCTTTCCTCTTTAGCTTGGCACCAGCCCAAAGGGATGGGTTGAACATCAGGAAGCTCTTAGCGCCAGCTCTGCCACTCACTCGGTGGCCTTGGGAAGGGCACTTGCCCTTTCAGGAACTCGAGGTCCTTCATCTTTAAAATGAAGGAGTCAACTGAGATGATCTCTAAGGTTCCTTCCAGCCGTGACCCTCTATCCTTCCAAGACATTCTCCAGCAGGGCAAAATGTCAGGCATGGAAAGAACCCAACTTGCCATGCAGCTTTGCCAGCTGGAGCAGCCATCCCTTCACTAGGAGTGGCCTTTTTTTCTAACTTCCATGACAAACTGGGCCACAGAATGGGGAGAAATGCATTTGACTCCACAACCTTAATATCAACTCTTTGGGGAACACCTAAGCTAGCCCAGCAGAACACCTAAGCTAGTCCAACATGGACCCTTCACATGTTTTTCTTCAAGATCTGGTTCCTCTCTGTGATTTCTCACAGTTTCAGAAAAGACACCTGGGAGTGTGGGAAACAGAGGAGTTAGGGACCCTGACAGGCCTTGGTTAAAATCTTGTATTTGTCCTAGCTATGGGATGATGGGGAATTTTCTTAACTTTTCTCAGCCTCTTTTTATTTATGTATATATATATATATATATATATATATATATATATGAATTTTTTAATGATATATATAAAAAGACTACCTTTCATATATATGTGTATATATATATATATATATATATACATACATATATGAAGGGTAATCATTTTATATACATATGAAGGATAATCATACCTCATAAAACTATTATGAGGGGTAAACAAGATAAGTGTTTATTAGAGGCACAAAAAGGCACATTATCTGCTGGTACTAACCAATAAAATACAGGGGTTTTCTTCACTATCTTAGGCTGCGCATTGCCCTGCAATAACTGACTTAGAGTATGAAATTCTTAGAAGGACTAGCCAGGCTCCCCCATGATGACCTATTCACCCACCTATCTCTTCCCTCTGTTCCACTGTTCCCCTTAGGAGAGATGGCACTGGTGAGAGAAGGATGCTGCCCCCTGCTGCTGCTCCTGCTGCTGGGGCTGTGGGTGGTTGAGATCCCAGTCAGTGCCAAGCCCAAGGGCATGACCCCATCTCAGTGGTTTAAAACTCAGCATGTGCAGCCCAGCCCTCGCGCATGCAACTCAGCCATGAGAAACATCAATAACTACAACAAACGGTGCAAAGACCTCAACACCTTCCTGCACGAGCCCTTCTCCAGCGTGGCCGCCACCTGCCAGACCCCCAACATAACCTGCAAGAATGGCCACCATAAAAACTGCCACCAGAGCCATGGGTCCCTGTCCCTGACCATGTGTAGGCTCACCTCAGGGAAGTACCCGGACTGCAGGTACAAAGAGGAGCACCTGAAAAAGTCTTACATAGTGGCCTGTGACCCTCCACAACAGGGTGACCCAGAGTACTCACTTGTTCCTGTGCACTTGGATAAAGTTGTGTAAGGTCTGGTGCCCACGCTCCACCCCACGCTCTGCAGACTGTATGTGCTGCTGTTCCTCCCTCAAGTTCTTTATTAATCCTTGCTTCCCATCGCAAATGCCATTTCTCTCCCACACACCCAATCTCACATATTCCTGGTTCTTTAGGGGGTTTTATGGATGCTCCAAATGATGAGGGAAGAGGGCAGATTCTCTTCAGCCTTTCAATGCAGCTTACTTTGAAGCCCTTCCAGAGTCAAGCACTCAGGATCCCCACAAGGATGGATCGGAGTTTGGTGAGGCCTGTGGCTTATCTAATGTTGAAGACCCTCTTAAAGAAAAAGAACATAAAATTACAAATCCAAAATAAGTCAGATCCTAGGAAGGGCTGTGGTTGGACAGTTCAGGGAGATCCCAGACAGGGGTGATTATCTAAGAAAGGAAGGAAGGGGAATCTATGCTGTGTCCTCTGTGCTGGGGAAAGAAATGCTTCTGATCTTGCTGTAATAAAGACTCTGCTGTTGCTGATGGAGTGTGTGTTACTGTCTTGGGGTAGATGGGGAGGCTTGGAGCTCCAATTCTGAAGCCCTGAAAAGGTCCTGAAACACTTATCTCGGTGAGGCATCAGCTCCACCTGCTTTGCAGGCCGGATGGAAAGCAGCACCCTGAGCAGGCACAGTCTGAGAAACTGACTTAATTCTGTCATCCAGCCCCTTGAGGGCTCTCTAGTGGTCCCCTCTCATGGGAAGGGGAAGGGTGAAAGGAAGGATAGGCTGAGCCCTGGGATGCCAGTCAGGTCTGAGGCCTGACCCACTTGTTTGTGCATAAGACCTGAGTTCATGCTTCATCAGCATGACCCAGAGCAGGACACTCAATGTTCTGGAGTGAATTTCCCTTCCTTGGAAATTTCAGAATCTGGACCTACCAAGAATCTTGATCTGGTCTTAATCATTGCTGAAGGCTAACTGTGGTAAAGGAGCAGTTTTGTATGCAATCAGTCATAGACCCATACTTTTGTAAAATATGGTAAAATGAATTACTAGAAAATGAAATAGAACATATAACTATAAAAAATACAAGCCCAATTTTATTATTGCTAGATTCAATTAATATAAACTACTCTGTCAAATTGCCATAAAAGTTGCTTTTTTAAAAAATTTGAGACAGGGTCTCACTCTGTTGCCCAGGCTGGAGTGCAGTGGTACAATCTCAGTTCACTTCAGCCTTGACTTTGACATTCTGGGCTCAAGTGATCCTCCCATCTCAGCCTCCTGAGTATCTGGGACTACAGGTGCAAGCATGCCGCTGCATCTGGCTAATTGTTGCATTCTTTGTAGAGACAAGGTTTCACCATGTTACCCAGGCTGGTCTCAAACTCCTGGGCTCAAGCAACCCACCTGCCTGGACCTCCCAAAGTGCTGGGACTATAGGTGTCAGCCATGGCACCCAGCCCACAAAAGTTTCTTAATGTTTCCTCTCAATTTCTGTACTTGTATTAATAGATATTCAGAGAGAAAAAAACATACACATATTATACACATCTACACACATACATACCTACATATCAACATAAGGTGCACACATACACACCACATACAGAGGCACACATAGTCACAATGTGCACCTGTGTGCACAACACACAGACCTACACATGTACTCACACTCAACAAGACACCCCCTCTCCTTCCCCATGCAATCTCTGCTTCCTTATTACACCTCCCTTCCCATATTTGAAAAGAGAGTTTCCTACACAGACTATGACTCAGAGTAAGGAAAGGATGTTTGGTGAAGTGTGAAGTGGCAGGGAAAGCATAGAATCCAGAAATTCCAAATCCCAGCCCCCGTTCTGTGCTTTCTAGAACTAGAGCTCAATGTAGCGTCTGGCAGCAACACCATCTCGCCCCAAGTGTAGTTTCCCCCGACAGCCTGTAGGCCCCTCCACACTGCTCTGCCCATCGCCATCACGATGTTGTCGACACTTGTGCTCATAACCAGGGAAAACATCTGGAAGTAAGAGAGAAACACCTTTCCATCCCCTGGCTTCTTCCCAGTGTTGTGGGCAGGCTCCACTTCCTGTGGCTGCACCTTAAATGATGGTGTTTTTTCAGGGTCCTATTCTGAGCTCTGTTTTCTTCCCACACTGTATGCTCCTTGAGTGACTTCATTTACTTCCGTGGCTCCAACTACCATTAACCTACTCCCAAAGACAGGTGTATCTCCAGCCCAGAGCTCCCAAAGTCCAGGCATACATGCCCATCTTCATGCTGTTGCTAGCCCCGTCAGTGTTCCACAGACATCTCAACCCAAAACACTCAGAACTAAGCTCATCATCTGTCTGGCTTCAAAACCTGCCCCTCTCTACTCCTGCAGCCTCTTAGTGTTCCTTAGCGGACACATCATACTCAATCATTCAAAGTCCTAATCTAAAAGTCACCTGTGTCAACTCAGTCTTGTTTGTTTCTCCAGTGATTGCCCATTTTATCCCAGAAACTACCTCCAGAGGGCATAAAAGTTATTGAGTTTTATTTTCCTTTCTCCAAATAGCACTGTGCTCCTAACATGTGCTCGATACACATTACGGCCTTGGAGGGTGCCATGATTTGGAGCTAGGCAAATATACATAGATTGGTGCAACCACAGATTCACTGTCTTGTTTAGGGGGCAAGATTAAACAGTACTTATGAAACTAACAAGTAATAAGATAGAAGAGAAGAATAAACCAAATGGATTCTGTAACATTTTTTTCCCACTTCCCTTAGGATTTCATTCATCCTCAAGTTCATTTATCCTAACCTGAAGTTCATTCTCTGTTGGATGTTAATTTTCCTGTTGTATATCTCTGGCATAGCATTAGCCAGGGTTAGGGAATACCAGGAGACATTCATCCATTCAATATCTGTGAGAGTTGTGGCCCCAGAAGCTGGGAAGATTGTGAAAAGAATTCAGAATAGAATAAATCATTAAGTAGACTAATAATATCCAAACAAGTGGGGTAGTGATCTGGGTAGGAGTTTCTGACTTCCTTGTGTAGGCTGAAGAATTAGATGAAGTGTAACTTGAATCTAGGGGTCATGGGCTGTAAAACTGGCTCATTCTGAGAGTAATGCACAGCACTCATAAAACAGGGCTCAGTAGGGCAGCTGGGGCCACAGAGGAGCTGCCCAACAGCCTTGGGACGGAATCTCTACTGGGTATGCTCTCTGGACCCCTGAGAATGTATTTCCAAAAAATCACTTGAGAAGGGACTCCTCAGCCATTTGGGAGGACCTAAGTATTTTCTAGTGGGTAAGTATGTTTTAATATCCAGAAACTTTAGAATTAAGTATAAAAATGTTTAAAAGAATCAACACATAGCATTAATATCTTTGTATTAAGGAATTTGTATTAGGCTTGTCATTCTGATTTTAAATGCACATGATTTGAAATGGGACTTTCCTTTAAAACTAGTTTTGGATCATTTAAGAAAACATAGAAATTGAATTATCCTATTTATAAATTTTTAGATTTATAAAGGTTTTTATGTATTCAGGAATATTTTGTTGGTTAGCTCAAATGGCCAAATTATAAGGACATGGAATATATATTGAATTTATAAAGTGTATCTTTTAATGTTAAAGAGTTTCATTAACTACTTACAAATAAGATCAAATAGTCAGTGAATACAATTTTTTAAAGTGATTATTAGAATGTATTTCTTTGTAAGTTCAACATAAAAGCTTAAGGTAGAACTGAGCTGATTTATAACTTCAACATAGGAAACATAAATTTTAAAAAGCCAAGTGGCCCTCTAAATATTATTTGCTAGGCACAAAAGAAACATTTTAAAAACTCACATTGATGCTGCAAGACCAAATCATTTTCTATGATATTTTCATCTATACTGCAGAGTGGGCTTTGGTGATTATATTTTCTGGTGTTAACATGCTTGTTGATTTTGCTGGGCCATTTATTAGCAGGGAGGGAAGCGCAAGGCTCAGGCTCAAGGGCAGACAAGTGTCAGTGGAGTCTTCAGAACTGAACTTGGATATCTGTCTCTCCTCAGCATTCTCTTCCCTGCACTGTGCTGCCTTCAGTGGGGTTAGTTTTCTGACTTTGGAATGGGAGTATTATATCCCAGAGAAACTGAAAAAAGGGAGCAGGATTTCCCTAAGGCCAGTGTAGGGGTGGCAGAGGAATTCAGCAAAATATACTCCAAAGAAAAGTAAAATTCAAAGACTGCAGTCAAGTCTCCATCCTCTATAGGGACTTTTCCTCTTTGGCCAGAGTTTTGAGACTACTTTTATTTAAAAAAGCAGCTTTTAAAATATAAACAAAACAGGCTGGGTGCAGTGGCTCATGCCTATAATTCCAACACTTTGGAAGGCTGAGGCAGGAAGATCAATAGAGCCCAGGTGTTCAAGACCAGCCTGGGTACTGTAGTGAGACCTTGTATCTACAAAAAAAAAAAAAATTATATTAGCCGGGTTTAGTGGTACACACCTGTAGTCCCAGCTATTTGGGAGGCTGAAGTGGGAGGATCACTTGAGCCCAGGAGGTGAAGGTTGCAGTCAGCTGAGATTGTACCACTGTATTCCAGGCTGGGCAACACAGCAAGACCCTGTCTCAGAAAAGAAATAAAAACAAAAACAAAAAAACGGATTTTAAGAAACCAGCTTCTTCAATAAATCGGAGTGCCTGCCTGAAAGTGGTGTGTATGTGTATGTGTGTGTATGTAAACACACACGTGTTCAGGGTGAGGAAGTAAAGTTATGTTAGCGGAATTAGGAGTGCTATATTCCGCCAACTATAGATCTTTTGGGATTCCAACTCCTCATTTGAAGTGCAAATATCTATTGGCACAAATAAAACAAGATAATATAACAATTACTTGGAATCAATCACTTAGGTGTTGGGTTTGGCTTGGGGTTATTTGGAGGCAAGGTAAGAATATAGGTTTTGTAATGGGTGGTTCTTATGAGTAGGTTCAACATGGGCAGAGACCTGGAGGTAGACACTGAGTACAAAAAAAGAGATGTCATGGAACTAGAGACAGTGTTACCCGATGCTTGGAAGTTCTGAAGCCTAGGGGATGGGAGTGATTTCATGCTGTTGAAATTCCCAGATTGCCTGCTCAGGAGTCTGGCTCTGCTGGGGATCTGCCAATGAGAGCTGGGGCCACTGCTAACTATAACGGGCACAGGTTATGTCTTAATAAACGTTCATTTAACAAAATGTGGTTTTGGAACAAAGGGTTAGGGCTAGGAAAATGTACAGATCACAAATCTGGAAAGCTTATAAACAATTTCTTTAAAAACTCTCTCATTATGCTTCAAATTTTTCAATGAGAGGGAATTTACCTATGGAGACAGCTTGTCCCATTTTCAGGCAACTCTAAATATTTAAAATTCCCTTACATAGAACCTAATCTGCTTCTCTATAACTGCAAAAATTCACTGATGCCCTACTGCTTTGTGCCATTCAGAATAACCTCAATTCCTCTTCACAATCAACCTTTTAAATATTTTAAGAGCGTTTCATGACCC